AGATAGGTTAATTGAACCGACGTTCCTACGGAAGTCGATTCTAGGGGGAAGCTAATGTAACAGCTTAGGTTGGTTGGTTAAAAGTTGACCCCAAACAACCAAGCATATGCCAAAACAGTATTGTTCAGGTATTCATTCACTTCCTTATTTTGTATAAGCGTTATATTCCTTATTATCTTATATTGAATGTTGAAAGCTTTTGTTTGTCTGAACAGATAATCCCACGCTCCACTGTGACTGCGCTAAGATCGAAATAAAGACGTACTCCACAATTCTGTGGTTTCTTCTATCAATAGTACGAGGGTTACCTATAGGCACGAAAGACTATTCATTTGGATATGAGCGTTATATTCCCTATTATCTTATATGGATTAATGAATTAGAGTTGATCGAATGGCATGGCTCGGCCATGCAGGCGTGGTCTCTGCTAAATGTTATCTTATATCTTCTATTCATATTCAGTACGTTGTTCTTTCTCTAGCTTAACTTTGTTCTACATCATGTATTGGTAATTGATACGATACAGTGAGTTGGCGTAGTCGATGGTGTGACTTCCACGTAAGATCATATAGATTAGGCAGTTATATCATGACAAATCTACAAATTTAGGATTAAGTCTATTATTAGAGCAGCACTAATATTATAGTAGACCATAATTCTACAACCTCTCCGAAAACCATGTTGTTCCCTGGAGAAAAGATTATGCCCTTCAACATATAAATAAAAATAATATATTTGTAATATCCCAATGAGTAGAAAATTGGATTTTCTGACGTTTCGTGACTTAGTGTAAGTCACTTCTTCAGAGAATAAATAACCAAATTAAAATTAATCCAAGTTTAAATAGTACAACGGAACAATGGAAGAATAATATTTGATCAATCAAAAAACAGGTCTGAACAAATTGATGTCATGTCATTTCTGTCAAGGTGATTCATAAGTGATATGTATGTAAATTTGTGTGTATGTATATGTGCATTGTTAAGAATGAAAACTTTTTTGACCTTTATGGTAAGAATGGATAGAGTTTAAGTTTGTAATATGATAGTGTGAAATTGTAAATACTATTAGACTGAGTTGCTAGGATGGATGGTCCAAGTAGGATGTATAGTAAGACCTTCCTTTCTATCGAGAGAAGTAGGATTAAGCATTATATGGAACGCCTCAGCTACCCTCCTTTCTTTGTAGTTGGAAAAGCCTTTTTGCAATATTTTGATATTTTTAAAATCGATTTGGTGGTTGTTGAAAATGGCATGAACTGCTATTGCCGATTTAATTTGAAGTTGGTTCAATTCTACAGGGTTGTTAGGAGGTTTCTTTGTGTACCTAATATGTTCTTTGGCTCTAGTCACGATTTCGCGGGATGACTCTCCAATACAATAAGCATCACAATCAATACAACCTAATTTGTAGACGCGGTTCTGTGTGAACATGAGCGGGATTTTGTCTTTCAGGCGAACTGAAGTATTACGTAGTGTGTCCGTTGTTTTGTAATACACTTTGATTTTGTGATGTTTTAAGATTCTTTGGATTTCTTCTGTTGTGCCATGACGGTATGGTAGAACTACAGTACCAATCCATGGCATTTCATTCGAATCACTATTAGACTGTAATAAACTGTTTTGTTTTAATATGCTTCTAATAATCTTCATAGGAAAATTATTAAATTGTAAGATGCTAACTATATTCATTTGTTCTTTTTGTTTGTCTTCCTCTGATGTGATGATCTTGTTAGCTTTTCTAAAAAGATTTGAGGCTAGCGAGATCTTTGCACTGAAAGGATGTGCTGAATGGAAGTCAATATAACGATTTGAATGTGTCGGTTTTCGGTAAATCGAAAGGTTTGACTTACACTAAGTCACGAAACGTCAAAAAATCCCATTTTCTACTCATTGGGATATTACAAATATATTATTTTTATTTATAACAATCAACCCAATGCTCAATTTATTCGAAATTATCAAATCAAACCTTGGTAATGACACCTACAAGCCCTTCAACATAGTTGATAACAGATATCCGAATGATTTTTTCTATCAGTTTTAAAACTGCAACAGTTAAGCCTACGGGGCTATAGTTACTAAGTCCTTACTCCCAGACTTATACACCGGACTTATTATAGCGTCTTTCCAGTCTCTGGTCAGTCTGGGTTGCCTTAGAGACATGTCAAACAGTATCGCTAATGGTTCAGCAATTTCATCTGATATGACTTTCATAATACTAAGATGAATATCATCAAGACCACTGGACTTATCAGGTTTGAGATGCTGAAGTAGCCTTAAAACAGTATCTTTCTCAATGACTACAGGATCCATCAGCGAGCCGTCACGGTCGCAACGAATCATTGGTTGTTCTTAATTACCGATTGAAAACACTTTATTGAAATATTCCGATAAAGCTTCAGCTCTTTCAGTATCATTTTCTGCCAAGAAAACAGATTTTCTTGTATAAAAAATGATGGAATTCCATCGCTTCTCTGAGTTTGCCTTTTTATACTCAAGAATAACAGTTTTGGACTACATCTAGAATCTCTGACCAATTATTTTTCATATGGTCGTCTAGTTTTACTTTACAGGCATTCTTATCTTACAATGACTGGATCTATATTGTTCTAAGCCAGTAGAGATGAACATATTCCAGTGATTCTTCCTTCTTCTATGAAGGTTCCTGACTGGTTTAGTTATCCATGGTGGACTGTCAGTTGGTCTACGCGGTACCAGGTATGGTATGAACGAGGACGCAACTAAACTAAACTTACCTTTAAATACAGACCATGCTTCTTCAACTGATAAGCTAGTATCTACAAACCAATCTGTCTTAGCAGAGCATTCTTGAATTGCTGATGTTGGCTTTCCATACATTTGGGCGGAGTGTAACTTGATCGTATAACATGTCCCTAGTTCTAAACGCAAATGACAAAACAGCGTGGTCGCTGTTCACTAACGGCGGGAGAATATTTAAGTCGACAATATCCTCAGTCTCATGAGTGATTACCAAGTCCAGTAGAGAAGAACCCTGGTTGGGATACATGCTGCTCTAGTGCATGCTCCATTATTGTTATCAGGAACCTACTATCAAAGGAGTTTATAGATCTTTCCGTGGTCATCTCAGTCCAACTAATATCAGGTGCATTAAAGTCTCCTATTATCAAACATCTGGTATTTCCACTCCAAAGATGAATGTGTTCTAAAACAAAGTCATCAGCTAAGCTGATTGTGCTGTGATAGATGACACCTAGCATAAATGTATTACATTCGATAGCCAATTTACAGCCAATTACTTCACAAGTACCGCTATCAAGGGATTCGCTAGCAGATGAGAGGATATTTATATTATTGGCTATATATAACAGGACACCACATCCTTTTCTACATCTGTCTATCACTCCTAAGGTAATGGTATCCGGATAATTCTCGAGTAATGTCTAAGTCATCGACTAGCCAAGTTTCTGTCACTGCTACTATGAGTGGCTTTTAATCTGTCCACTTATTTCTTAGACTACGGGCATTGGTATATAAAACTCCTAGGTAGAACAGCCTATCCACACAGGCCTTAGAAGCATTTGCTTCTAAGACCTGAGTATCTGAAAACCCACTAGACGGAGATTTTCCTCACCGTTTTGCTGATGCGTTTTCAAGTTCAGCTAATGCTTTCTTCCTTTTTATTCTATCTTCGAGGGACATATCAGGTCTAACTCGGATGTCAGAATTGTGACAACGAGCGCCACTTAACAGGAGATCCCGTTGCTTCTCCGATCCTAGGATTACCTTAAGGAGTCTGTATGGTCGGGGTTCAACACTGTCCTCATTCCTCTTGCCTATTCTAACCAATTTTTCGACCTGAAATCCTTTAGAGTTATCTGATAAAATATTACGAATATATTCTCCTAGTTTTTCTAAATCATGCGCGTGTCTAATTTTCGGACCAGGGTCGTTTGACACCCGCAAATCGCTCACAATAATATCCGATGATATTAGATTAGTCTTCACAGTCACGCCAGAGTGGGTTTCTCTCTTACTATCATTTTTCGGTGGTGTATTTTGTAACTCACAATGGGAGTCCCACAGTGACTTGCTAACCACCTGCGTACTACCTACAGCATTTTTCTTTTCGTTTCGTTTTCTCCGTACTGTAGTCCATTTTTCATCCCCCAGGATACTGAGAATATTTGGAGCGGTGACGATTTTATCCAGATCTTCAGTTTTCACTAGAGGTGCATGGTTACCAATGTCAATGTCAGGTGGTACTACCCGTTCGTTATTGTTAATGAAGACTTCACTTTTTCGCCAGTCAAAGTCGGTTGTTCAAGGCGTCTCGCAACAGTATGTACTACACTGACACATTCGTCATTGTCAGTGATCGTGTTATCAGCGCATGCGCCATCTTTCTTCTTACAGGCCAAAGCCAATAGGCTCATAGCCTCCTGTATTAGTAACGTCTTATTTTCACAGCAAAATATGCAAAGCCAATGTGAGTTAAGCTTCGAACATCTTTTGTATGCGGTGGGACTTAAACGAGTGCACATCCTATGGAACCACTCATTGCATTCATCACACTGCATTCCCTCCTCCACAGGGAACAAACAGCTTGGTTGTCCACATTTGTGAGTACTACCAACCATTTTAGTCAGATCAAGGTGTAAAACACAATATTATCACAGTGTGAACACAAGTGTCAGTCAACGAATTAAAGGTTAACACAAGACAAACTCTAGCAAGATTTTAAACCTTAACTAAAGTACTTTGATGTAGACCAAGAACGTTTTTGATGCAATAATTATACAAAAGCAATGATAATCATAACAAGTACAAAATCACTGCTCTTTTTGAAACACCGACGACAAACTAATTTAGAAACCGAAACGATACTCTAACCGAATACTTTAACCGAAATAAATTCAATTAAAGTGAAAACAGTAGTCTTGATACGTTATAAACGATCAAAACAATAAAATTTACTCAGCGAGGAATAATATCAGTGTCCTTTTAATTAGCGCGCTCGTCTAGAAGGTTTGAGATGCTGAAGTAGCCTTAAACAGTACCTTTCTCAATGACCTCAAAGATACCTGGCTACAGAAGGCATCCGAGTGATGAATAGCGAGTAAAATAGTTTGCGCTTTACATTTGATGTCCCGAGAACTGATTATAAATTTGTCTAAACCTTTGGTTTTGTGTCATGCAATATGCCATAATTGTACTTTGACTGATCTGATGTCACGCCGGCGCGTAGCGGGTTAGCGTTTGTTCATGGCCACCGAGCACCCAACCAAGGGACAATTTAGTATAACGAATACAGTAAGTAAATTTAGTATTTTTTCCGTATTGCTTTACTGTATTTACAGGAAAAATTAGGAAATTTGAGTCATGATCGCGATCAATCTACAACCGATTCTCACCTAAAACTAAATGGTTGCCTCGTTAATAAGGACAACCCATGGGTTCGAGGTATGTCTCACATATTTCTGTTTAAATGTGTGTCAGCCCCATGTTCATCTGGTGATGGTTCTGACTCTACTACATCTCATGAAGGTGTTTGTAGCAAAGATCGAGATTGGCCAACTCTTCAAAGTGCTCTATCACAAGTCTCACAATGCACCACTAGTACTTTCGATGTATGCTCTAAACAAAGAGATAAAAATAAACAAAAGGTGAGTTTCCTCTGCTAGGTTCACTTTTAGTTCACTGCGGTTGGTTCTTGTCAGATAGATTTGGGCACCAAACCCATTACAAATCATCAAAAGAAGAAATGGGAACAAGCCACTGTTGAGTACATTTTCCCGAAACCTAATAGCACTGATGGATTTGTCGGTTATCGGTCAGATTCGCACCGGTGGAACCGGTCAGGTAATTATAATTCTAAGACATATTCGATAGGTGAACACGATAAGGAAAATTATCATAACGGGAAGTCAAAGATCGTATCTAATAGTTCTGTCGATAAAGAGAGCTTAAACCCAAGCCAAAATAATCTTGTTCACTCGGGAACAAGACCTCGTCCGTTCGTTCGCCATATGCGGTTCTCAAAATCTGGTCGCCCTCAAGTAAGTTTTCCTATTAGTTTTCAAACCTTATGAATGCACCACTAGTGTAGCAAAGTAAGTCATTTTTCCTTCGATATTATTTCATTCCCTTAAGTCTAGCCGTTCAGTCATTTCTTTTTCCTGCGTGGTATTAACAAGTTTAAAATAGCTCCTTTGACTTAAGTAGTCTCGGAACGCAGTGGAGCATAGGTCATCCACCAGGATTCCCCCATCAAACTATCCAGTTGTTCCCGGTTGCTACTCATTCTTTTGATTACTTCCGATTCTCGACGCAGTGTTCGTCGGACTTCATCTGTTCTGTTTCACTTCAGATTTCTAGGTTAGCGCTTGCCTCGTGACAGTTTGATGATTTCCGTAATGTATGTTCTATCCGCCTCCAGTATCAGTCTTCAGTAATAAGGATTGGAGGTCTGTCGACCTATATTAATCCTTGCAGTTTGTAATACTGTGGAGGTCCAATCTCGTTTTGAATATATTAACAGATGGTGCTGATATTACGTGTTCCGGTAGAGAATTCCAGTAATTCACTACTCGGTGCGAGAAACGGAACTCCAGACGTAAACTGTTTGATCTCGGTTTTTGAACTTTCTTCGAATGTCCTCTCAAATGATCGGTTCTAGACAGGAGCAAAAGATAAGACATGTTAATACCAAGGTCATCGTTCAGTATACGATAGGCCAATATTAGATCACCCCTTATTCTACCGTAAGATAACGGAAATAAATTAAGATGTCTCAGTCTGTCTTCATAAGATAGGCCAGATAGACCTTGTACCATCTTAGTACCTCGTCGTTGGACTCTTTCTAGCATCTCCTCTTCATACTTGAAACAAGGACTCGCTGCTTGAATCACATATTCTAAATTTGATCGCACATAAAACGGGTATAATAGTCTAAACATTTCATCATCTAAATACTGGAAAGACCTAGTAATAGATCACCCCTTATTCTACCGTAAGATAACGGAAATAAGTTAAGGTGTCTCAGTCTGTCTTCATAAGATAGACCTTGTACCATCTTCCATATTTTTCATCTTGAAGCTGGTTTGTTCTCCTACAGTATGTTGTTGCTGATGGTATCTGGTCAACGGATCCAAAGTATCTTGTGTAGACAACTGTTTGTAAATACTTGTACATTTTTTATGATGGTTGTGGTGGTTCCCCAAGTTTCAGCTCGATTGGAACGCTATGGTATTTTGCCCGAAACAAAATTTAAGTAATTAATTCCCCTTTGAAATAGTGTCCGAGGAACAGGCGATATGCATCAAAGTAGGTGGTGCTTCAAATCCATTCATCCTTTGCCCTCCATACTTCACAAATCAAGCTGTCCACATAAGTTTCTGTTTTAGATTTTCGCTTTTGAATCATATTCTATATACTTTTTCCCATTACCGTTGGTACTGATGATTTTGTCAATTTCTTTATTCAAGTTATGGCAATTTATAGGACTTCATCTTTAGTCTTTGTCTAGGCTTAAAACTAGATTAAACTATGGTAATTTATACGCAGTTTGCAATCCATTTTGATTATACCAGTCCTTAAAACATCTAATGACTTACTCAGCTAGGTTGTCATAGTCTAATTATAGTAATATGATTGTGTTTAGTCTGCCTCTATCGCAAACCCAGTAGTCCTCATGAACATAAAGCGGTAGTAATTGTGTAATAGATATTAGATATTAAAGACAATCATATTCAGAATTTAACTTTCTAAACTGCTCTCCTAATTGTAGCGCCGACAACAGACATCTGGCACCCCTGTAACAGCAGCAAACCGTGGCATACCTGGCCCCAAAAATTCAGAACAAATTTACTCTCCAAACAGTTTATGGGTTCCAAGTGACATCAGTCAGGCTGCAAACTTGGCTCGCATGACAACTCATGGTCGTTCGGCTCCGGGGAAGCTTAACAACGTGCCTCACCTGATTCCTATTCCACTCTATGGGTCAGTACCCCAGACTTCTCCCTTATCGCCTTCATTTCGTAAGTCGAGTAGTTTTCCAATCAATTCATCCACTGTCACCCATTTAGTTTTCATGTGATTGTCTAGGCTTCACAACTGTTGAGGTAATTGTTTTTCGGACTGTTATATACTAATCTTCATGTGACTCATCACTTCCATGCTTTGTCACGATATTACTGTATAGTTCTACCCGTTCAGACACTTGGTTTAATACATCTTGATCGTGACTATTGACGCTGTCTTCTATCTGTTGGTACTACTACAACAGTGATTTCTGACAAACAACAAAACATTGCTTGTTGTAAGGTTGAAGTGAAGAAAGATTCATAAAAAATTTATAAACCCAGAATTTAAGGAAAGTGTGATTTTGAGTGCTGTTAGAGGTTTAAGAGCAATTATCTCTTCCCGGTTGCCTGTCCACACCGTGGAAGGGTTCTTCTGGATATTCATGAAAAGGAATTTCGGTTAGGAGTGGTCCTAGTGACCTGGAAGCGTGATCGTATTGCTCAAGGAACAACTTCTTGAGGTCGGTCACACACGACCTTTCTGTGAGTAATTTTTGTGTTATCTTCGTACTTATTGGAACCTTATCACTAGAGACAAAAATTCACGCGATAAGGTGAGATGTGCATTTTTAGGGTCAATCTTTTCCAACCCCGCCCTTTTTTTGTGGGAAGGCAGCATCGCTGTTACGCTGGTTGTCTGAAGGAAACACCTTACTGCCGTCACACTCCTGTACAGTCAGCAGTACGACTTTGCCCTCGGATCTTTTTTTGCTGCTTTTATTCTTACCGCTTTTAGCCGATCTGTCTGGATAATGCAGGACCCTGAGGAACAATTTTTCTGCTAGGATAGATTAATTGGTTCATCACAATAGGCAAGCCCGACCACGTTGAGGTAGCAGCAGCGGTCGGAAGGGAAAGCAAGAGTGAATACAAATGTGCTATGGAAAACGATGATTCGCCATCTCACTCATAGTCTCGGAATCACTGGTTTTGATGATCACGAGAACTGCAACTGTCTCCATGACTCAGACCACTAGTTAATAACTTCGAGGGTTAATGCCATATCCTGTTTTAAGACTGTTATTTCCGTGGTTCTGAGTTGTACGGGCAGTGCTTCGAAGACACATGGTCGAATATTAGAAACCTCCGAATATCCTCTATTATTATTATTATATTATATGATGTTTCACCCATGAAGAAAAATGAAGTGAACTACCACTCAATGTACTTGTCTTTTAGGTAACAAACAGATATCATATTTTTGCTTTAAGTGGCAATAGTTAACAAAAGCCAATCGGTTTTTCGCGATTACAATCAAAAGTTCGCCAGAGACCAACCCACCAGGATTCCTAAGATGAGTAAAATGGTCAATACTTTCATCTCTTTTACGTCCTATACTTAACTCAGGCGTTGAAGGCGAGTGATTCTAAAACGATAGTTTGCATTCAGATGGAGAAACACGCATCCTAAACCTGCCACAACCATAGTTGGAGGACGGCATGTCTGTCTGCGTTCCAAAACCTGATAAAATGTTTGTTCTGCACATCCAAGTCCAGGTCTAAAAAGCCTAGTTTTCCTATGCTTCCTCTCTACAAGCCTTAGCTAAGCTATGTGGTTACTACAAGAGAATTTATGTCCCCATAGACTGGAACGATCCGTGATCGAAATGAGTCTATTTCCCAAACTCTAGCTGAGACATCGGTCAACCTGAAAATTTGCGATGTAGAATCATCAAGCCTGTTGCTATCCCTTACTTTAGATCAGTTATGGCGTTTCCTACTTTCAGAGTTGGGAGACTTATGCTGACATCCCTTTCAGAGTGCTTGGTAAAAGTAGGTAATTTACAGATAGTCAGAAAGCAGTTTGATTATTCTTCAATGTCCTACCCATCGTTTTGGTCTCTTACTTCGATTACGGACCACTGTAAAATTTGGTCGAGGATGAAGATATGATAAGTATATTCATGACTAGAATAAATATTCGCTTGCTCCTTACCAGTTAGTCTTTAGTGGATTTAAATGATCTGTCGACTACCACAAAACGCAAGTAATTTGGACGTAGTCGAAATTAGATTTAACCCCATGTAATCGTTGGGTCGGCAACGTAAACTCTGTTTTTAAAGATGAGGATAACTGTAGCTCCCTTCCAGGATGTTTGAACACTAATTACCAAACTTCCAAACAACCCAGCCAGAAGTTTCCAAACATCCATAAAATATCCGGAGAGTAGGTCATCTGAGACCGGCGATTTGCAGCTCTTCAGGAATTACAGCCTCTTGTGAACTCCCTGTTCATCAAGTAGATCAGTCGTCACCGGCCATAAACGGGAGTCTGATTGATGTTGTTATGGTAGCAGATATGCTGAACTGTTCATCGTTCAAGACGTTGGTGGATGCTATTGATTTCCTTGCTATCAACTTCACAAATCATTTGACTCACACCAGGCTTTTTGCTGCCAGTAGTTTTGATGAGTTAGGAGAGTTTCCGACGATCAGTAGATTCAACTGCTGCTTTCAACTCGCCAACACACTGCGACCACCAGGCTTCTGTGAGCTTACGCAAACTTTGCAATATTATTTGTAAGAATTCACGTTTATCGCGAAACCGGCGGTTGGGCGGAGTAAATTGATATGTATATCAATTTACTCCAAGAGGAGCGGGAGCTCTGTACAGAACCACGCTAACAGTCGGTGATCGCGAAATGATCGATCTGAATCGAAGCTTAGGATGCAGAAGTATCGTGCCAGTTGGCACATTTGCGCTGACTGTGCCGAAAGTCGGTAATAACCAGAAACAGATTGTTGTCTGCTGGGAAATTCAATCTTCGGCTAGAATTGCAATATCTGTTCAATGAGCCTTCTTGATCAGTTGTCATACTTCATCAGCACAACAAGATGAACATCAAATTCATAGAAGTAGTCACTTCAATTGTAGCAATATATAAAAGAAAGATTCCATATAAGAATATGAAACAGAGAGATAGACCAGACTTCTAAGATAAGTCTCGATGCGCTTGACTACTTTACTCCATATCATTAGTTCAGGTGTTGACTCAGGCCAGTCCTGAAATAACAGTCTGCATTTATTGCGGGAGAAACGCATTCCAAAAATCCTAGCATTGCTGCAACGTCATCACCAAACAGGTCTGTCATTTACGTATTCTAGGTCGATAAGTGGATCGCCTGGTAGTAGGTCAATGCCCGAACATCCAGTCGACGAGACCGTTATTTCCGTCAGTGTGTCTATGATGAAGTTGAACAAACATGGAGACAGTGGTCAGCCTTGTAGGATACCACTTGAGGTTGCGAAATCAGATGCCATATGCTCTGACTTGACTAGTAGTGTTCGAGTAAAGAGTATTCACAAGTTTTCTGTCGTGTGGTACTCCTCTCAATGACAGACACTGCAATATAACCTCTCTATCTACAGAGTCAAATGCTTTTAAGTCAAGAAAGTTCACGATTGTCGGACGTTGATAAGTATGCCTGTGTTCTAGAACCCGACGAATGGTGAGTATGTGGTTGATAGAGTTACGACCAGCTCTAAAACCAGCCTGATTTCCTCGTGTTTGCATTTGACGAGTATTTGTTAGGCGTGTGATAATTATTGAGACTAGTATTTTAGATGCTATATTAGTTAAACTAATCCCTCTATTTTTATCACAGGATGATTTTGATCCATTCTTGGTGGTAGGACTCATCCTCAATTAGATTCGGACTACAATCAATCGATGCGTAAGCGATGGCGAAAAGATATCGTTTCTCACTTTGATGAAGCCTTTTCATCTGAAAGTACGTAATCGACAGTTATTACGGGCCTAATCAGTTAGTGTTGTCTCAGCTCTTGTGCTCAGTAAAACACCTATGGCATCCAAATCGGACATAAATCCCAAATACCCCCTTTGTTAACGCTCTTGAAACTGGCAGTCTGAATCGACTGGTAATGATCTGTGAATATATCGGCTCTTTTTTATTTTCTGGATCATGCACATGCTGTTCTATACTCTTGTCTTAAGTGTACTCATTTCCTCGCAGTGCTTAACCACAACTACTGCTTGTTTTCCGTCTAGTTTTTTCTTATAAAATGTTAGTGCTGTTCCAGACCTTACATTTCTGTTTTCTAGTTGTTATTCGTTATTCCATAGTAATACAACCGTTGAGAGCAAAAAAATATATCTTGAAGTATACTTGTATACGATTTCTTTCTAGTTTCAGCTGTTGGATATCCCCTCTTGATGATATATCCGACGGGACCTTTATCAGCACCAGCGGCATCAGGAGTTTCTGATCCTGTTTACGATTATTCGGTTACCTGTCAAACATCACATTCATCATCAGTTGGTGTTTCAAGTGTATCACAACAACGGTCAACTGATTCATCAGAATCTAATCGTATAGAACCTCAAGTTTTCAGTCCACCTTTAGGTACTGATTTAAACAATGTTTTCTCTTCCTTATTTCCGGGAACAGCCATCGCCCAACCTGCTAGTTTGTGTTTCCTTGCATCGTCGAGTAGTGATCCTACAATTTTAATACGCCATCAAATATTGCATCAAGTCGAATTTTACTTTAGTCCAGATAACTTGGCCAAAGATGTGTATCTTCGTCGGCAAATGGATTCTGATGGATGGGTTGATGTCAATGTAATTGCCAAGTTTAATCGTGTGGCCTCATTATGTACAGATCTTAATGATATTTTGGAGGTATGTACTCAGTTTCCTTGTTTTTAATTAGGTTGGTCAAAAATTTACCACTTAATCTATTAAATTTCATCACTATTCTTTCGTACCTTCCTATTCATAATTTAGTGAATGCTAAATTTTGTAGTCAAACTGTTCCTAATCTTTCTAAATCAATGCAGAAAATCATTTTAAAGAGGAATGACCACTCTAGCTGTGACCTATCTTTCTGATTAGGTTCTCAAGGTGAATTGCATTGGTTTTCGTATTTTATCTCTTCCAATGTTTCAGAATGGTACAGATAGTTGCATCCCTATACACGTTCATCAAGTTAGGCTATATTTATAACAGAACTGAAGTACTCCTGATCTGTATTGCGTGTTTCGGAATAGTAAAAAATAATATACTGTAAACACAGCAAACTTAGTAATCAATCAGGAGTATATTGGCTTTGAGTTCGGTTTCGATACCTACCCACTCTAACAGTAGCAAGCAGCGAAGCGTCCAGAGTTCGACTAAGTAGACCTCCCAACTTTATTCGAAACACAAGATAATATAAATAATAGTGCTATACATGAAAACATTACTGTTTGATCATCTGCTTCTCATTCTTTAAGATTAAAAATCAATAGTCACCTCAGTAGTTTGAAACCACAACAGTCAGTCATACCCAATATAAAACAGCGTATATGTATGTCGTTCAAGTTGCCATACCTCGATTGCACACCGAAATAAAATTGTCAGGACAAATATGAGAGTAGTAGAGTCAGTAACAGTATTAAGAGTAATAAAAAAAGTAAGAATTGAAAATACAGTTCAAGGAGAAAATATAAAACGCCATCAAAAAATTACAGCAGTAGCATTGTTTTGAATATAAGTTGTTTTTTATTGATAACAATTTATGATATTTGTTATAATTGAATTCCGTTTCCCGCTCAAAATTAGGCAATTAGAGTGAGTCCATTATTAGATGTGGATGTCCCTAAAGCTCGTGTCCGATGCAAAAACAATCCATCGATTTGGCCCCTTCCTCTTGTTTCGAATGAAAAACTTCGAATCAGTTCTAGGAACAACACAGTTCTTAACCCAGATGCTCCCGAATTCATCCCATCCCAGTCGATCGCAAACACAGATCAAACAGGTAAGAATGGACATAATAATTCGTTCTTTACTTCCAGAAAACCTGTCTTCAAGGTTTTAATTATATTGTTTAAACGACTCTATAAATTTACTGCGTAGAATTTGTAGATTCACTTATCATCTTCTAGACCCCCAAATGGTCGTCTTTCTTGACTTAAAAGCAGCATTTGACTCGGTAGACCGCGAGGTTCTGTGGCAGTGTCTGTTATTGAAAGGCGTACCTCAGAAGTACATAAACCTTGTGAAGGCTCTTTACTCGAACACTACTAGTCGAGTGAGAGCTTATGGCGAACTGTCATCTACTTTTGCAACCTCAAGTGGTGTCCGTCAAGGATGTCCACTTTCCCCATTTTTGTTTAACTTCATCATAGACCTACTGATGGAAATAACTTTCTCGTCGACTGAGTTCTCGGGTATTGATCTCTTTCCAGAAGGTCCACTTATCGACTTAGAATACGCAGATGACATAGTCCTGTTTGGTGAAGACGCTGACAAAATGCAAAGTCTTCTGGTAGCACTGAGCAACAATGCCAGAATGTTTGGAATGCGCTTCTCTCCCTCGAAATGCAAGTTGTTGCTTCAGGACTGGTCTGCGTTAACACCTGAACTAAGGATAGGGAGTGAAGTAGTCGAACGCGTTGACAACTTCACTTATCTTGGAAGTCTGATCAGCCCTAATGGGTTGGTATCAGACGAAATCTCAGCACGGATTCGAAAAGCTCGTTTGGCTTTTGCCAACTTACGTCACCTGTGGCGAAGGCGAGATATCCGTCTATCAATAAAAGGACGAGTATACTGCGCGGCAGTCCGTTCTGTTTTACTTTACGGTAGCGAAACATGGCCATTAAGAGTAGAAGACACTCGCAAGCTGCTAGTATTCGACCACAGATGCCTTAGAAATATTGCTGGCGTCTGCTGGGATAATCGGGTAAGTAATAGTGAGGTTAGACGCAGGGTATTAGGAAAGGATGGTAAATCAGTTGATGAGGTTATGAATCTTCATCGACTGAGATGGTTGGGCTACGTGTTACGTATGCCTGAACACCGATTACCACGACGTGCAATGCTATCCGGTGTTGGGGATGGTTGGAAGAAAGTTAGGGGCGGCCAAACCAAAACGTGGCATCAGTGCTTGAAGTCACTAACTTCTAGTCTGAGCCATGTTGGTAGATGCAGACTACTTGGTTGGGGTCCGCGTGACTATCGTAACCAATGGTTGGAGACTCTTGGTGACATGGCTCAGAATCGATCACAATGGCGTCGGTGTATACACTCGGTTTCTTCCCTTAAACTAAGAGATTAAAAGCGCTTCATAGCTTTCTTTCTACTAACCAATTCTTTCTTCTTGTACTATATCTCTATATGCAATCTTTCTCTTATATATTACCACCTTTTACCTAACCACTGTTATGAATCCGGTGTTCATCTTGTTGTGCTGATGCGGTATGGCAACCTGGACCGATGCACATAAGTGCATGGTTCTACGTTGTAGCTGACTGACTGACTGAGACCCCCAAATGCCCTGGTATGGCCGACAGTAGGGTGGGCCCGCCCTCCCTCTCGAAATGCTCTCACATGGCCACGCGTATACAGCCTCTGCCAGGGAAGTCCTACTCATTGACTTCTCGTGGCGGGGGTGTTTACGAAATTGGGAGAACGAAAATCGAATGTCCGGCGCTTTTACCGGATTCCAAACCAATGGTGCACATGGACTGGCTCCAGTATCCTGCGGGAACAAATGGCGTATGAACCAATCGTTGGTCACCCGCTACCATGGGACTGCATCACCTCACGATGCTCCACTACCTTGTGGGTCAGACCTTTAGGTCAAAGGCTCGGGGTGTGGCCCCTTGAGAAAACCTCCTGTTTCGGTCTGGGCACCCGGGCAGTATAACAGCTCGCACACACAAATATGGTGTGGCGCATATCTATTTGGTGCCCTCTTGTACCAATATTTATGTGTTGAAATAAATAAACCTCAAGCACTGTGATAACGCTCTCGGGTCGCTAAAACCACCACTAATACAGTTTTTTAGGCCCCTAAAGAATAAACATTTCTACGGAATTAGTAAGAAAAGCGATAACTGCTGTTACATAGCATGTGAGGTCAATTCGTTTATATTTAGACCCGATCTTCACCAAATATTTCTTATACTCCCAACTTTCTTTCTTCTACTTCGACATGTACCATCAATGCTAACAATTCAAGTTCACAAAATGCCATCCCAGGCCTCTTGAAACCGAACTTCAACCTACGTGTTAGAGCTTTCAATATCCAAACCCAATTTCAAGTCGAACAACAGACGCGACTAACTACAACTCTAGAATCTTGTTTCACGAATACCTATTGTGTCTCCGTAACACATACAAAATTCTAACATAATCATTCACCTGTATTCACCTAACCGGTATGGAGAGCCGACGTGACGTATTCTCCGTATGTCTGAAGACTCGACATCAACTTTTTGTGATCTTACCGGTCTAGGTAAAGCACTAAATCCGAGAGCTAAGCAAACACCACTAGACTTTTACCAACTGTCGCTTGTCTGCTGTCCGTCTAAAGCTGCAGTAATAAATCTGAAATTCGGGGACACACTGTTGCTTCTTAATTTCTACGCATGTCCAATTAACCGTAAATGTAGAGGTTAGGAAAGACCAGTGGATTTCGTTGGCATTGATTAAGTTGATAGAAGCTCAAAAACTCGTTCCTCAATCAACGTAAATGGTGAATTGGCATGTCATACAATTTAGAGACTAAAGAGGCTATGATTAGTCTAAAACGAGGAGAACAGCAGGCTCTGATGAATTAGCACGAGGGATTTTCAGGGAGGGTGAATCAGTTTTAAAAGTTAAGTTGGCTGATATCTCGGCTAGATTCTGGAGACTAGACATAAACTTATATGACTGGTTTCTATCACAGGTCGTTCCAGTCTATAAGGTTAAAAATCATATTACAACAACCACTGACGAATTTTAGGTTTAATAATCTTCCGATGCTCGTGAAAAACAAATCCAAGTAAAGCAAGGTGGTTTTAGGTTTAAACGTAATTTTGTTGACTTGATATTCACTCTTCATTAAGCTTTATGACATGAGCTTACTAACCGACGCCGGACCACAGTGACATTTCTTAAGATTTAAGCATATTTTGATTCTGTTGACCGATAAGTTCTGTAAAATGTTTTGTCATCGAAAAAGATATCTAAGTATGTAAACCTTGTGAAAGTCTTGTACTCAAACATTTGGTCAAACCACAGCCTATGACCGCTCTGATCACGTCACTTAGAAGTCTCATCACCCGGATAGGTTAATGTCTGACAGAATCTCTACACAAATTCAAAAACCCAGTTAGCCTTTGATAACTTGTGTTTTTTTAGTCAAGAAGTATTTGCCAGTCAATGAGCGTGTTAGCTGTGCAACAAGTTCTGTTCATGTATGCCTTTCCATTGTCTTATTAGGTCATGTTCCCAAGCTTTATTCTTTCATTTTGTCACTGCTACTGTATTATTTCGGCCTTTTGTTAATATTGTCTCATCTTGCCAATGTGGTTTAACACATCTATTCCAGGCCGTATATTAATGATTATCTGTTCTGGTGTTTAGAATAAACCTAGTCATTCGCCTCTTTTTACAAACCACTTCAACAAGTGACAGTTTATCATCAGTTTTAAAGTAAGACCAAGGCATAAACATTCACTTTGAAAGAAATTCACTTTCTTCTTAAAAGTTGAGCATTCAGATGCTGGGTTTTTCTTAGAAATTCTTAGCGTAAAAAGCTTTGCTTCTTCCATTATGTGCTAATTCAGATGTAAGTTTTCATAGCGACTAAAAATACCTTAGTATGCCATATGCATAAAAAGCGATGTAATTCTTTCGATCTTTGATATAATATTAATAGCTTTATTCAACATCCTATGTTTAGTATGACATGGGATATGCTTCAATGTCGGTGTGTTTCCTATTTATCGGTAGTTCGTTTTCATTTTTAAAAAGTTTGTGATCCAGATGAGCATCATCTATGAACTCCTTTTCTCTCTGATTTTCCGTCTTTTCAAATTTGGTCTGTCTGATTTCATTCCAAATAGTTACGAAAGAGTATAATGTGACTCTCATCGAGTACATGTTTACATACCTGCCTTCCCAAGCCAAAGTGGGTACAGCGGGCTACTAACCTAAGACCTGATCAAGAACCGAATACTAAACCATTTGTATTCGGGCAAGTTGTACTGTTTCTCAAGTTATTCCGACCATAATATTTGCATAGTCCTACAGTGAGCTTCCAAACATTTTTCTCTGCTTAGCTAGCTAGTGAAATAAACAATTTGAATATTCATTAAGTATGAGGAAACTGAGGCAGTATCACTTCATATAATTTATGTATTTTAACAATTGTATGGCGGATGTAAAGTCATTTTCCCAATAAAGACCTCCAGCATTCCATTCAGATTTTAATGTAGTTATGTTTCACCGAATTCCAACAAGATAAACTTGCGTAGAATTAAGTTCTACTGGTGATAACATCGATGGTATTACTCGCGTACAACCATTCTTTCTGTAAAAATAATCAATATATAATCAGACAAGATTTTTGTGATCTTGCCAACTCACCTGTAACACTCATTGAGTATGTGCTATTTGTTTAAATTCTATGCATAGAATCATCCCTCGAACCTGTAACAAAGTCAGGTGCTACCCCCATCACGTCAACGCAAGAAGATTTGAACTTTTCCTTTTCAAATGAATTACGTTCTGTCTACAGTAATCTACCGCCGCATTCTTCGGCATCGAAACGCACCCGATCAAGTTTTTCCGAATGTGATAAGTACTCTTCTATTTATCATGTAAGTTTCAAGCTGAAATATCAGTTATGTATAATTATTTCATATCTTAAACATCTTTGAAGTTTCACTCTACCTTTTGTCCATTGTATTATACCAGCATTTCAATTTCTCGACAGAAACTTAGTTCCTAATCACACTCATCGTATTAGTGCGTGTAAGTATTAATTGTATTTCTGAGTTATGTCTTCCTAACTGACTGTGAAGTATAGGTGTCCAAACCAAATTCAAATTTAATGGTTTGTAAACATTTGAACATTGGATATGTGATAATCGTTGTTCTTACAAATTCGTATTTTCCAATTAATGATAACTATCAAAGTAATCAATTAATTACAGGAAGCACTCATCAGTCAGACCCTTTTTTTCTGTCAATAATTTCAAGTAACTAAATTAATACAGTGGTTTGGACATGCTACATTTCTGGAACCTTTAAACAAAATCATCAAAATATTTAAATCATCTTTAGAAATTTTAAACCGTTACCATGACGTTTAATTCACGCCTTGTATTCTTCATTTATAATAGTTGGTCCCCATAGATCACAGAATATCCCATAAGTTCTAAATCATTTCTTACTGTCATCGATCAAAGCTGCATTTAAACAAAATTTGCTTGGTCTTTAATATTATGAATTTCAATGAAGATAGTGCATACTTGTATTGCATTCCGTGTTTAAAAAAATAATGTATTTATAAACAATGATATTAGAGTAAATAATATCTTATTTCTGTTCAACGCAATTGTATCTTAAAAGATATTTGTTCTGGTCATTTGCTCGTCGTATGCTCTCCATTCTGACGTAAAGTAATTTGATATAACCCTGTCCACCAGTGATGCAGGACTGTTCATAGTCTTGTTAAAGTAACATGATAGTAATAAATTCTCCCACCTATTATGCTTCCGATGTGTACAGTTATACAGATAATCACAACTACAAATCTGAACAGAATCTGGGTAATAGCAGTTTTTTGGTTTACGCTGATAAAAATTTGTCATCACTTGTACATCAAATGACGAATTCCATTAGACTTTGATCCATATCATTCAAGTGTCACCAATCATTAGTTATTATAGTCTTACGGACCTCAACTAGACATCTTTACCCTCCTACGCGGTTTAGTTCAATGGTCAGAAACTCCTTGGATTGATGCCACCTTTTGGCTTGTCCGCCTCCGGCTCCTAACATACGCCTACGCCAACTTGACATCGTCGAGGTAAGCGTTGGTTAGACACACATAGCACATCTCAATCACACCATTTATTAAGGATTCACAACTTTACTTATTACCCTGTCTAACTTTGGTGTTTCCTATTTGGTAGTCCAATCATGCACAACTAATGTTTCAAAGGCATCTGTGATCATTTATTGATAACCTGCGAATAGCCTCTGGTTTTCAAAGGGTACGTTTCACAGCCCTAACTAGATAGCTTTTATTTTCCAACACGATTCACCCAAACAGTCAATAATTTGGTCGACTAATGCCATGTTTCGGCTCTGTCGTCCTCATTTCGCTCCCAAATCCCTCTTAAACCAGGACCTCAAGTAGAGGTAGGAAGAGGTTGAGCATACATAATACACTCATCTCAGCTGATGAAAATGCACGAATTCGTCAGCTGATTTATTGTTCCTCCTTAGTACCTTACTCCTATCCTCAACATTGCTCAGTCGGTCGTTACAGCGCGATATAGAAACAAAGCTTCGAGAGGCGCTGCGAGAGAAACTGCCTTTTCTTGTCTTCTACTTTTATAGGCTGTTTTTCACCACCATTGAGTAATTTCTATGAACTAATTCTTTCTTCCTTTACTATATCCTTATATTCGGTCTTTCTTTTATTCATTACTATCATTGAAGTGTCTACTTCTATGAATTTAGTGTTCATTTTATTGTGCTAATGAGGTACGGCAACTTGGACCGATGCATATATGTGCCTGGTCCTACGTTGTAGCTGACTGGCTTACCACTGACTAAATCAAAACAGACTTGTGCCGTATATTCCCATTTCGGTTGGGAGAAGGACAGGTCCCTTAACCTACAAGCGAGGAAAGCCAAACAAGATTTCTAAATTCATGTCCAGCACTCACCGAGTGAAACATCACAGTCATTTATATGCATAACCTAATTATTCCTAAGTAATTGAAACTTTTACTTGGGTTTTTTTAGTTCCGAACAAGAACATCATCCACTAACTCGGAAGATGATTTGGACGATTCTATGCTTTCTTGTTTGTTGGTGATTGCTCCAAACACATCTCATGATCCTTTACCATCTAGTTGCAGTAATTTGGATGATGATTCAAGGAATGAAATTTCTAAACCTTCGAAATTTCCTTCCGTTATCAACAGGTATATATGTTTTTCCCTTACTTGATTTCTTTAGCTTTTCTAAATGTGTTTTCTCTTGTCTAGTATTTTCTATACTCATTACTGTTAATACGTCTGTTCATATTACTTGAGAAATGATTCCATCATGAATAGTTGTGATCTTCTCCGACAGTGATTACGATCTCAATTACACACACCTTATTTACCTCATCGAAGCTATCCTTTCAGAAAATTATTAGGTTTATTGATTGTGAAAAGCGTTCACATGAACTATCACCTAAATGCTTAGATATTTAGCCACTAGCCACACATTGTGTAATGATGATTTAAACTCTAAGAATGCTTCAACCATTAAGTTGCTCTTGCAGATACATATACAAGTCTTCCTTGTAGTTCAAATAACATCTTGACAGGTAACGTTAATCTATCGAAATAAACTTATTGATTATATTGTAAACTGACACCTTGTGTTTAAGTCTAAAACTTTTGTTTATTTGTTTTGCGTTCCATAGTTCTACCGACGAATCTGTTGAAACTACTATTGATGACCTTTGCAAAGCTATTGAAGAATCCAATGTCCATACTGAATCGAATTTCACAGTATGTTTAATTTTGTCGCTAATTTTTCCCCTTGGGATAATAAATTAATTTTAGTACTTATGTTATAATTCGTCTGTAATGTATTTTCCATTCTTTCATAATCCTGACCATTAACTAGTATTTTTATTCTTGCATAATGTTCATTAATAATAAGTTGATAACCTTCTTTTCCAATCAAATAGGAATCCAATCTAGCCAGCGTTATCAAAGACAAGGCTTCCACGTGTACAGAAATATTTTCTACTTCATCCACTTCCTATACTACAACCACAACTATATGTTGTAACAGTTCTCTTGTACAGCTTGATGTACCTGTCTCTGAAGTTTCGGCGCACTCCTCCGTCCCAGTATCATCAAATCCACTTTATTCAGGTAATTCAATATTATCCCACAATATTCAACTTCGAAATCGGTTTGTCTCTTCATTTCATTTATATTCGGTAATTATTTATTTTAACATTTAACGTTCTGTGTTTGTGGAATACAGTTGTTACAGAGATCAAACATCATTTTAGGGCAGACATCCTATGTCTTCATATGGTTTCTATTCATATGGCTACAAGATGATGAATGTTTAGTAGTGCAGAAAATCAGTGTTTATTTTCAGTTCCCAAAAGTTGCATCAGAATCTGTTATCACTGCTCATCCACTTTAATGAGTTGTATAGCCGTCTTAAATTTTCTTACAATCTATTCCCTTGTGTATTTGTAGACGCATTTTAAAGCATCATGTTTTTGGTTCCATAGAATTTAATGATTGATAAAAGCAGTATTTTTTTCTATCTGTTCTATGAATTCACTATAGAATCCTGTTTGCCATACGTGCATCCCTCAATTCCTGGTTCGGTTACGTATACTGTAATACCGACAGCTACCGCTTTGCACCCACAGACTGGACTTATATTGCCGACTCTCAGTCGAAATCCGTTTTTAGTACCTTCAACTCCAATGTATTACATTCCTCAAATTAACGCTTTGCCTTTGGTTTCTCCAGTAGACAATCTATTTCCTCAGATTCCTATATGTCAACCATTACCGTCTTTCCTAAATTATGATCAGAGCTATCTATCATTTCCTGACATAAAATACGACCTTAAAGGTCGTTCTGTTGGATTTTTCCCCGTTTCCAGTGACTATGACTTAAAAGCAAATGAGTCAACCGATTATACAGTAAGTTTTTATTTAAAATCATGTTTACTATTTGTAAAACTTTTCAAATTACCATGCTTCTAACCTAAAATGAATCATCACTATATTGACAAAAATCACTTCCTGTTGTTTTATTGATTGAAGTTTTTGAGTTTAACGGTTTGCTACCGCATCATTGTGTTATTTTCATTGGATATAATTTTAGCAACCCGACAATCCTCCGACTGCGGAAACAGAAAACTTGTCATCTAGCAAGAAGAAACATGTTGGGTTTCTTTTTCGCCCGGTTTCTGCTGCTCGTACCCATTTAGATGTCTCCTTGAGGTAAAATCATGATTTACTTTCTTTTCATAAATGGTCCTTGATATAAAAACTTTTCAATGTATGTAAAGTTACCATTTGTTTTTTTCCCATTAGAATTTTTGATTGTTTATAAAAGTGATATGGAATATAATGCACCTTGACATCTTGATAATTGAACTACGGAATGAACTAAAGAATCATAAATATTTACAATTAAATTATCATTATTGTAGACCAATTCAAATATAGTTGCATGTATCAGGATTGTCCCTGTTTTGGGAAATGAAACGGTGATTCCTTTAGAAGCAGTAACTCACAGATCACATACAGGTTAATAACACTATCAAACTGCCCGCGCCACAGTAAATATTATAGAATCATATTTAGAACCTAACACTACCCAAATGTTCTAACCCTCATTAAGCCACTGCTCCATGGTGTTGCTGTAACTTCGTAAATCTTTCTAAATTTACTATTCCTCGATTTTCAGTTATTGACTTTCTTTCCTCATATTTTACTTGATTTCCTTAAAGTGGAGGATTCCCAGTTGCTCATCACCCACATCATCTTCAGCAAAGGGGTTTCACATTTCATGCCTACAATCAGTTTCGTTCCAAATGTCTGAAAGACCGAGAAGCTAAAGGGAAAGGTCAATCACAGGTAAATTGATTATTATCGTGTTATTGATTTTATCAATTACTCGTGTGGCTGATTTTTATGTGTATATTTCATGGAGGTTATCAGTGTTCGTGTTGAATGAGTCTGAAGTTAAGATGATAAGTCAAGTACTCTAATCACATGCAATCATAGGATGTAAGTCATTCATAACATTAAGCCTGACACAAACATGTGTTAACTCTTTCATACCGATCCAGCACAACGAGGTAAAATTAACAAGATGCATATCAAAGGAGTCGAAACAATTGTGAATTAGCAATACCAGTGAGTACGATTAAACATTAAAAAATAGGATTCTACGAAATGGAAAGCAAAGATATGTTTCGATGAGTACTGAAGATCAAGTTGCAGATAAAGCGTTAATCTATCTCTGTAAACACTTCAGATTCATGTCTTCCAACATCACCAACCACTTATCAGGTCTTCTGACCACTAAGCAACAATGCAAGCACGTTCAGCATGCGATTCTCCGCCTCGCAATGCAAAATGTTGCTTCAGGATTGGGCTGCATCGACACGCAAACTAATGATAGGGAGTGAAGTAATTGAGCGTGTCGATCGCTTCACTTATCTTGGAAGTCTCATCAGCCCTTGTGGTCTGGTGTGTGACGAAATCTCAGCATACATACAGAATGCTCGACTAGCTTTTGCCAACTTGCGTCATTTATGGCGTAGACGAAATTATCCGTCTATCAACCAAAGGACGGGTTTACTGCTCAGCAGTTCGTTCTTTATGGCAATGAAACATGGTCAGTAAGAGTAGATGATATTCGTAGGTGGTTACTAGTATTTGGTCACAGTTGTCTTCGAAACATTGGTCGTTTATCCTGGGACCATCGAGTAAGTAACTCAGTTGTTGGGAAATGGGTACTAGGTAAGGATGGCAAATCAATTGATGACGTCGTGAAACCTCATCAGTTGAGATGGCTGGGACCTGTGTTACGTATGCCCAACGACCGACTGTCCCGATGTGCGATGTTTTGTGTTGTAGAAGTAGGTTGGAAGAAAGCTAGGGGCGGCCAAACATAAACATGGCACAAGTCCATGAAGTCACTGACAACTGAACTGAGTCATGTTGGTAGGTGTAAACTACTACCTGGTTGGGATCTGCGAGATGACAGCAACCGATGGTTAGCGACCTTGAACAACATGGCTCAAAATCGTTTGCAATTGTGCAGGTGCATCCATTCTTTGTGTTCTCCCAAATTCTAATCTCTTGATTCCTCCTTGTCTCTTTCCAAATTTATTTTACTGGATCATACTCCTTGAATAACATCTTCAAACCCCAATGTTTCCGATTACTGCTTTTACTTTTACTACCTCTACCACTACGGGATTTGAATCGAAAACTTCATCTCTGTGCCAATGTGGTGTAGCAACTCGGACTGATGTTCGTTTGTACGAAGTTCTACGTTGTTACTGACTGACTGACTCATCGGGGTTATCACATGTACGTTGACCAAGTTGGCTGCATTAACCTAACCCAATAATATCATTTCTTGGTTTGGCTACAACTAGTTTCGTTTCAACCTGCTCCTAACCCACAATACTACCCGTTGAGTTAGGTATTGTTTAAACATACACAACGCATCTCAATCGCTTCAGTTTTTAAGATTCACAATTTAATCAACCGACTTGCCACATTTGCATCATATTCCACGTCAGACCCCGTACGGTCATTAGACGATGCGCGATCAATGCTTCGAAGACACTTATAATCAAGAATTCCAGTTTTCAATTGTCTTCTGCTTCAATGGACTATTCTTCTCCATTATACATAATTGCAAAACAGTCTATTGCACATTATGCTTTCTTAATTTATCCGATAAATTTCTCACAGCTACAATGTAGCTGTTATTATTGACGTAAATTCACAATAGACTATTGTCAATGTTTTTATTGTATTACAATGACATAATTTTATGCGAAATATTAAAGTTAAAAGTAATGTAATTACAATTTTCAAACACATTTGAAGGATTCAGTTATCGTAATTAACATACGAATAAAACTAAAACCTGACTTCTCGGCTTAATTCTTGTCTATCTTATATATATTCACATAATTATTTTATCATATTAAGTATATATATATAATCACTTTGTTTCTTGAGGTCTATAGTTGCTGAAGAATAAACATTATAATTTGTATGGGTTTATTTAGGAAATGAATACTCTTTATAGCTTTTGGTCATTTTTTCTACGTGAACACTTCAATCGAACTATGTACAAAGACTTTCGTAAACATGCATTAGACGATGCTAAAGAGAATGCGAGATATGGACTGGAGTGTTTATTTCGATTTTACAGTTATGGATTAGAACGTCAATTTCGTAAGGCTATTTTCAAGGATTTTCAAGTGAGTACTTTCGAATTACTCTCCGTTACCTATTTTCTTGTTAGAATAATTCCTTCTTTAGGTGTGTATTCTGTCTAAATAGTGATATATAGAACTTTTTATTCGAATGAATGTAATGTGTTAAGTTTGTGTTTCATGTATTTGTCTATCAATCACGGTCTAAAAGCGAGTGATAATACTCGCGTGTGATGAACATAGTAGTAAGTATTTATTAATTCAAACACTTAATTGAAAAACTATAACCGCTAATCCTTCTCACAATAAGTAACGTATAGTTTGAGAAAAGTACTATTTGTTTTTAAGTTGATCTATTTTAGCTTTAAATACCTACTTTTGTAGTTGTGTTGATGAATTAGCCCGATTTTTTTCTCCTAGGTATTTGAGAAATCTATCTTTTAGTGCTTACCACACATTTCACTGTATCCCTGAATTTTATAAAATAGTACTGGCATAGTTTCAAAGGATATGTCTGGTCACAGTCACCGCAAGAAACTATCCTTCCATTTTGTCTCATGTCCAACATTAAAACCTCTTGTTTCAGTATAATAAAACAATCTAGATTATTTGTCCCGTCTAACTTTCGTAAAGTGCCGTCAGTTCTTGTGAGAACACAGTTAAACTATTCTGTATATTACTTTGTCCAGATTCCGAAATTTATATGTTCGAAAACAGTATCGATATAGATGGCTCCACTGTGTATTACATCCCAGGTCACTAAGACCACTTCTAATCCGATTTCCTTTTCAGGTACCTCCAGAAGAACCCTTCCACGGTGTGGGCAACCGAAAAGTGCTAACCGCCCTCATACCTCTAACAGCACTCAAGACCACTGGATTCATAATCAACCTCCCTCTTCAATTCCTATTATTCCTCCTACATCGACTTTCACCTCTAAACTTCCTTTTTCGGCTTCCTCCTCAAGTATCACCATAGCCTACGATTCTAGTGCTCAAAACACTGTCCCAGGTCTACTGAAACCTCGCTCCAAACTACACATTGGAGCCTTCAACGTACGCACCTTATGTGAAATCGGTCAACAGGCTTCCTTGGCTAGAACCCTAGAATCTCGTACCATTGATGTATGCTGTGTCTCTGAAACATGCATACAGGATCCCAGTCTGGTCATTCCCTTGACCTCACCTCGGCAAAACGGAGAGCCAACGAGATACACCCTCCGTGTATCTGGTGACCCGATGGCCAGCTCTCGTGGACTGGCAGGAGTAGTGATAGCACTAAGCATGAGGGCCGAACAAGCACTGTTAGAGTGGGTCCCCGTCAACAGTCGTTTATGTGCTGTTCGGCTAAACGGCTCCGTAAGAACTCGGAAGGATAGGGACACACGTCGTTGCCTTTTGTCGTTTCTGCCTACGCTCCCACCGACCGCAGCTCAGATGAAGTGAAGGGTGAATTTTACAGAAAGCTATCTGAACTTCTTCAGAAAGCTAAACGCTCAGACATAGTACTCGTAGCAGGTGACATTAATGCCCAGATAGGTAGTTTAAACCAAACAGAAAGGCATTTAGGTGGGTATTTTAGTATACAGGCACAACGAACAGATAATGGTGATCGTCTGCTGCAACTATGCTCAGACAATCGCTTATTTTTAGCAAACACAAATTTTAAGCATAGGGAGAGACATCGTCTAACATGGCGATTCCCTACACCAAACCAACGATGGACTCAAATAGATCATATTGCCATCAGTCATCGTTGGAAAGGGTCGGTAGAAGATTGTCGCTTATTCTGGAGTACCTGCTTGTACTCCGACCATACCCTAATACGGGCACGCATCTGCTTGCGCCTCACTGGACGCAAAAAAGCCACAGTAAAAAGACCCATTAGGACTTAATTGAGTAGCGAGAAAACCAAAAGTAAGTTCCAGGAACAACTGAGGTCACACTTAGGTAGTTCTGAAAACGAGGTTGACCCAAATGTTGCTTGGAAAGCTATACAAACAGCTGTGGAAACAGCAATGAAATCTATTAGCAACTTAAACCACAGAGTTACAAAGAACCAGTGGATTTCTTCAAAGTCTATCACACTGATGGATTCTCGCAAACTCGTCCCATCAGGTTCCGAACATGATGAAGGGCGACAACAAATCAGATCTAGGTTAAGAAAAAGTTTAAGGAACGACCGTGAGCAGTGGTGGGCAACGAAAGCAAAAGAGATGGAAAAGGCGGCGACTATAGGGAACACAAGACAGCTCTACAGACTAATAAAAGAAACTGGAACTAATAAGTCAAGCGTAAGTGAGATTATTTCGGAAAAGGACGATACTCTCATCTGCTCTCAGTCAAGACGTTTAGAACGATGGGCGGAACACTTTAGGGAACAGTTCAGCTGGCCTTCAGCAATTCTACAACTACCCTCCATGCCCAGACAGTGTTAATGGAACATTGAAGTAGGTCCCCCAACTCTAGCAGAAGTTCAAAAGGCTATAGTTAATCTGAAACGAGGAAGAGCAGCTGGTCCAGATGGATTGGCTCCAGAAGTCTTTAAGGATAGTGGTCCAATTTTAGCGATTAGGTTGACTAATATTTTAGCTAAGATCTGGGAATTAAACGTTATTCCATCTGACTGGTCACTTATCCTCCCAATATATAAGAGAGGGTTAAAATCATCCTGTGACAACCACAGAGGGATTAGTTTAATAAATATAGTATCAAAAATACTAGCCTCGATAATTATCGGACGCCTAACTAAGACTCGTGAACTGCAAACATGAGAGAATCAAGCTGGCTTCAGACCTGGTCGTGGCTGCATCGACCACATATTCACCACTTGTCTGGTTTTAGAACATAGGTATACTTATCGGCGTCCAACATTGGTGGTCTTTCTTGACTTAAAAGCAGCATTTGACTCGGTAGACAGCGAGATTCTGTGGCAGTGTCTGTCATTGAAAGGCGTACCCCAGAAGTACATAAACCTTGTGAAGACTCTTTACTCGAACACTACCAGTCGAGTCAGAGCTTATGGCGAACTGTCATCTGCTTTTGCAACCTCAAGTGGTGTCCGTCAACGCTGTCCTCTTTCTCCATTTTTGTTTAACTTCATCATAGACCTATTGCTGGAAATAACAGTCTCGTCTACTGAATTCTCGGGTATTGATCTCCTTCCAGGAGGTCCACTTATCGACTTAGAATACGCAGATGACATAGTCCTGTTCGGTGAAGACGCTGATAAAATGCAGTCTTTTGGTAGCACTGAGCAACAATGCCAGAATGTTTGGAATGCGCTTCTCTCCCTCTAAATGCAAGTTGTTGCTTCAGGACTGGTCTGCGTCAACACCTGAACTAAGGATAGGGAGTGAAGTAGTCGAACGCGTCGACTACTTCACTTATCTTGGAAGTCTGATCAGCCCTAATGGGCTGGTATTGGACGAAATCTCGGCACGGATTCGAAAAGCTCGTCAGGCTTTTGCCAACTTACGTCACCTTTGGCAAAGGCGAGATATCCGTCTATCAATAAAAGGACGAGGATACTGCGCGGCAGTCCGTATTGTTTTACTTTACGGCAGTGAAACATTGCCATTAAGAGTAGAAGACACCCGTAAGCTACTAGTATTTGACCACAGATGCCTTAGAAATATTGCTGGCGTCTGTTGGGATCACCGGGTGAGGTTAGACGCAGGGTATTAGGAAATGATGGTAAATCAGTTGATGAGGTTGTGAATCTTCCTCGACTGAGATGGTTGGGCCGCATGTTACGTATGCCTGAACACCGATTACCACGACGTGCAATGCTAACCGGTGTTGGAAGAAAATTAGAGGTGGCCAAACCAAAACGTGATCAGTGCTTGAAGTCACTAACTTCTAGTCTGAGCCATGTTGGTAGATGCAGACTACACATTTGGGATCCGCGTGACTTCCGTAATCAATGGTTGGAGACTCTTGGTGACGCGGCTCAGAATCGATCACAATGGCGTCGGTGCATACACTCCCTGTCTTCCTTTAAACTAAGAGATTAAAATCGGTTCATATCTTTCTTTCTACGAACTAATTCTATATTCCGGTACTGTATCCTTATATGCAATCTTTCTCCTATATATTACCACATTTAACCTAACCACTCCCATGAATGCTGTGTTCATCTTGCTGTTCTAACGAGGTATGGCAACCTGGACCAACGCATATATGTGCCTGGTCCTACGTTGTAGCTGACTGACTGTATTACATCCTATATAGGTCATACCGTCCCGTTATCATTCTTTATTATTTATTAAAGTCATTTATACACTACAGAGAATCTCTAATCATAATCATGACCGATGAATGTGATAAACCTTGCTACTGATAAGCGTAAACTCTCTTCGTAGCCAGTTTATATAACCTCAACTACTTTTACATGTCAGCTGAAATAACAGAGACAAGGCACGAATTGGCAGTTAGTTTATGTGCCAAAAAACAAGGGTATTTATGGGATTATACATCGCTTTGCGCCTTTAGATATTTCCGGAACCACACTAATCATAACAGTAGTAGTATAAACTTGTATCTAATATAAGCCGTAACACGTTTCCCCATTTTGTAGATGTTTCTGTGAAGCCTCTATCCAACGCTGAGTAGATAAAATGTTTACTGACTTTTCTGAGCCTCTAGTGACTTAGACAAGAGGTTTGTTGGAACTCTTCCAACAGATTCGTAGCTTGCCCCGGATATCAAGCAATACAAGATTTGTTACCGTGTAATAATTTTGTCGATGTTTGGCGAAGAGTGAAAATTTAATCACTACATGTACGACTTAAATGAAAACCAACCTGCAAATTACGATTTCGTCTTTCACGAGTTTTGCTTAATGTGCATAATATGATACTCAGTTGTTTAAAAGCATCAAACTTATATCCCAATAATTATTTTATGAACTTTGTAGACTTTGTTCATGAGAATAGGAAGCTTTTACTCATTGTAGTCTACAAAGTGTCCGATTTTTTTTCCTTTCTCTTGATCAATCTTGTTCTTTATTGATACACCTTAAAAATAAATTATGACTTTTATTATTAAACGAAGTTAACTTGTAGTTTTTATTTTCTTCACTTAATATTAATAAAAGGAGGAAACTTTAAAAGACTATGATAATGGTCATTTGTATGGATTAGAAAAATTTTGGGCTTTTCTACATTATAGTCAACGTAAAGTAAAGTTGGATACACGTTTACAAAGTTTGTTGGATTCAAAATATCGTACTTTAGGAGATTTCAGAGTGAATGTAAGTGAAGAATAATACACTAAATAAATTGATATATAATAATAAACTAATTTAGTTACTAAATTCTATTATTTAATTTTATTACAGTTTGAACCACCTACTGGCTTTTTTATAAACAAATCACGTCGTCGAACCAAATCCGAATCAATATCAACATGTCAAACTAAACTGATATTAGGTACTAGAACACCTCCTGTTGAATTTCATTCAAGTAGAATATCTTGATACTTCAAAGAAGAAAAGAATATATATATATATATTAGTTTTCTAAATTCCATCAGAAAACTATTTGTTCTCCAACAACAACAACAAAAGACAATCTATTCTATTTACTTTCAATTCATCCTAACATTAAATGTTCATAGAAAATTGAATAGAAGGAACATTCAAAAAGTCATATCTGTCACTCCGGTGTTATCATTTATTTGAATAAAATTATTATTATTATGGTCATCATTATCATGGACTATTTATCATGATTAGTATTACTCCTACTACTACTAGACTATTATTGTTTTGTATATAATTAACATGAATTATTCTTATTCTTAACATTATTATTCGCTAAAAAAAGGTACGTTTTTTTTCTCTCTTCTCTTCGGGTAAATTGTGTAATTGATTATTCAAATTATCGTTGACAATTTGTAGCTTCCTTACTTAAATGTCAAATTGTTATATAAATACTCAAATGATTTTAAGGATCATAATGGAGAAGGAGGAGGAGATAGAGTCTATACACTAAACTAACTAATTAATAACTAACAACCCGTCTAATTTGTTTTCATTTTATTCTTTAATTAATGATAAACTAGTCGATATCTGTCTTTTCTTACATTCTGTTTATTCTATTTCCTCGACCCTCGATCCCGTTTTTTTTTAGTTTGCTACTAATTTAGTTTTATGAATATATATATAAATATGGGCTTGGATTTATAGTCTTTTTCTTTGTCTATTTATATTCAATTGTTTTGTTGAATTAATTTTCATCATATCAATATCATGATACTTTTGATTTGACAACTCATGAACAATTAATTGTTCATAGTAGTGGTTATATTTAGATTGTGAATTATTTACAGTCTAGTTGAATCATGGTGTTCCTTTTTTTGTTTGTTGTTGTTGTTGTTGGAATATACTGTTTCTTTACCCATGTGTCTTTAACATAACCGAATAATTCTTCTTTCATATAACTTTCTATTAATAAAGGCAATTTGATTTGATATACTAAACGTCACAGTTTGATGGTGTATGTTCATTTTGTTTGTTTTTTCGATTATCATGAATAGAGTATATATTTCATGCACTTTTGTTTAAATTATTATTATTATACTTCTCAATTATTATGATTAAATTTGATGTCTGCCATCCATCCCATATCTTATTCTATTGTTTAAAATGCTTATAAAGCATACATCTAAATACTGCAATCTGTTGTATTTACTGTCAATCCCTAAATCATTTTACTTTTATGTTTCCATAGACATTCTTCTATTTTTTCCTTCATTTGTTAACTATCAGCATAGTTTTGGTGTAGATATATGTTCATCTAAGTTTCCATATTTGATCAGCACTACTACAAGATTGAAATAAGAAAAAAAGAAATCAAAATAATACAGTAGCCATGACGAAAAGTAAACCTTTGAAAAGACATAGTGTAAATGTATGCATGTACAAAAGGTGGTTGAGATTCGAAATCAAGATAACTTAGTCAAAAAGTATTAATTGTCTGTCATAAAGCTGTTTGATGGGTTGAAAATTGTCAGTAATTACTGTGATGTTTTTAGCTATTCAACAAATAACAATCTCTGGCATTCTCAGTTATTTTGATAAATTCATGAAAGTGACAACATTTTCAAATTATTCTGATTGATTTCATTATCATATGAAATGAATTATTCGCCAGTAAATCAATAAACTGGTTAAGATACCTTGAGTAGATGCTTGATCGACTTCCACCTCTACTGTTCTACCTTGAGATGACGCCAACTTCTCGAAAAAAAGATTCTCCTTATAGGATTCAACTCTACAATAACAGGTGGATATACTTCACTGAGTGGCTGAACATGAAGTTGAGAAAAAATGGATCTATTTGCAGTAAATCTCCAAATGACTAGTATTTCGCTTGAGATTGGGACCCGTGTCTCTTAGTAGCATAAATATTCATATTATTATCGACCAATTCAAACTATTGCAGAATGTACATACATTAGTCAGCTAATCAATCCTATTTTATGTAGCCTAATCAACTAACAGTTAACCGCCGACCATTCTGGTTTTAGAAGAAATGCAAACAAGAATTAAGATCTTCATTGAATGGCTAAGAAAATTTAAAAGTGTATATCATTTTATTGAAATCATGAACCCACCATTGAAAAAGTGAAACTACTGGTGAGCTACAACGTAGGCCCATGCACATATGTGCATCGGTTCAAGTTGCCACACTTCATTAACACAACAAGATGAGCGCCGAATACATAGAAGAAGACACTTCAATGGTAGTAATATATAAAAGAAAGATTGCATATAAAAATATACTACAGGAAAAAAGAATTAAGTAGTAGAAGGAAAGATATAAAGTAATTTTAGTATAACGGTTTACGGAATTCAGAGACTAAACACCTACTCCATTATGATCGATTCTGAGCCATGTCACCTAGAGTCTCCAACCATTGGTTACGATAGTTGCGCGAACCCCAACCAAATAGTCTGCATCTGCCAACATGGCTTATGGATATCACATTTCGCAACCATAAAGTTAAACAGGAAATTCTCGCAGTATACGTCGCTTATTTGATAGCCGGATGTTTTGCGTTCGCCATAGGTGACGTAATTTAGCAAAAGCCAAACGAGATTTTTGAATCCGTTCTGTGATTTAGTCAGACACCAACCCGTTACGGCTGATCAGACTTCCAAGATAAGTGTTGTCGACTACTTCACTCCATATCCTTAGTTCATGTGTTGACTCAGGCCAGTCGTGAAGCAACAGTTTGCATCTATTGGGGGAGAAACGCATCCTGGCATTGTTGCAACGTCATCACCAAACAGGGCTGTCATCTGCGTATTGTAAGTCGATAAGTGGATCGCCTGGTAGTAGGTCAATGCCCGAACATGCAGTCGACGAGACCGTTATTTCCGTCAGTGTGTCTATGATGAAGTTGAACAAACATGGAGACAGTGGTCAGCCTTGTGGGATACCACTTGAGGTTGCGAAATCAGATGCCATGTGCTCTGTGACTTGACTAGTAGTGTTCGAGTAAAGAGTATTCACAAGTTTTCTGTACTTCTGTCGTGTGGTACTCCTCTCAATGACAGACACTGCAATATAACCTCTCGATCTACAGAGTCAAATGCTGCTTTTAAGTTAAGGTAAACCACCATTGTCGGACGCCGATAAGTGTCTGTGTTCTAGAACCCAACGAATGGTGAATATGTGGTCGATGCAGTTACGACCAGCTTGATTTTCTTGTGTTTGCTAGGCGTGTGATAATTATTGAGACTAGTATTTTAGATGCTTTATTAGTTAAACTAATCCCTCTATTTTTATGACAGGATGATTTTGATCATTTCTTATATGTTGGGACAATTAGTGATTGTGACCAGTCAAGTGGGACAGCTGTTCCGTCCTGGTGTGCACATCTATGGATCCGCACGTCGGGTTCGAACCCATGACCTTTATCCTGGCGCGCGAGACATGGGTTCGAGTCCCGCGAGGTGGGATCGTGGATGCACACTGCTTCAGAGTCCCACAATTGGACGAAACGGTCGTCCAGGTTTTCCATGGTGGTCTAGCTTCAAATGACTCATGATCTCAACTATTGAGATAACCACTATGTTTCGGATTTTTGTTTGTTATTCACCTATTCCTAATATCAAGGTAATCACTTGTTGTCATACCAATGAACGACTATTCAAGCCATTATGAAAAGTATTATCCATTAAAGATAGCAAGGGAACATATCGATTTAATAGAATAGTTATTACTATCATTGTAATTCTTATCTATCTATAGGTAGTAATCAATCACTCTATCAGTAATGTTAATTTCTGACAGTTTTATGAACTTACCATTATGGTTAAAACATTTGAAAATAATGTGTAACATATTTATTAACTAAGTTTATCTGTTAAATAAAAGAACAAAAAAAAGTAATCACAATCCAAATGTATGTGTACATCAGGCCATGGTATGTTCTATGCTATTTTTAGTTATTGACCTGTAACTACAATGATAACTAACAGTAATTACATTTTACACTCTTATTGTATTTGAAAGATTACGGTTAAATGTTTGCAATAATCTGTAAATCAGATATATGTATATGAATATATATATCGTGTAACAATTGGGAAACTAGTAGTGATTCCTATTGAAATTGTTGATTATTCATTTGATGAACCGGTCAGACGAATCAATCAGGTATAAGATAACAGGTCTCAGATTTTGTGCGTGAAATTCACTCATCTACTATCGCATACACATGAACAAATGCAGATAAAGACAGCCAGTGTAGCAGTAGTCTCTGCATCAGTAGACCTCAGCATACACAACGGGAAAACCAACGTCCTCAAATTCAAAACAAAGAACAGAAATCCAATCACTCTTGATGGTCAAGCTGTGGAAAATGTAGAATCAATCACATACCTTGGAAGCATCATTTATGAACAAGGAGGTTCGAATGCAGACGTAAAGGCGAGGATTGGCAAAGCAAGGGACGCATTCCTACAATTGAAGAACATATACAACTCAAAACAACTATCTGTCAACCGATACCAAAATCACAATCTTCAATACGAACGTCAAGGCAGTTCTACTGTATGGAACTGAAACTTGGAGAACTACTACAACCATCATCAAGAAAGTACAAGTATCTAAACTAGTTGTCTACGCAAGATATTCAACATCTATTGGTCGAATACCATCAGCAACAGCTTATTGTGAGACAGAACAAACTAACTTCAATCTGAAGAAGAAATTAGGAAAAAACGATGGATAGGACATATATTACGCAAATCGTGAAACTGCATCGTGAGGCAAACCTTAATTTGGAATCCTGAAGGGAAGCGGAAAAGAGGAAGGCCCAAGAACACATTACGTCGGGAAATCGAAGCAGATATGAAAAGGATGGATAACAACTGGAAAGGATTGCCGAGGACAGGGTTGGGTGGAGAATGCTGGTGAGCGGCCTATGCTCCTTCACGAGGAGTAACAGGCGTAAGTAAGTAAGTAATTTGGATAAATCGAGTTTTGACATCATATCTGATGTCATTTCGTGCTGCAAACTCGAAGTCAAATACCTAACCTTAACTATCAATTGTAATGCTATTCCCCGATAAGAATAATGAGTAGTAATTTTTGGGATCGCTCGTTTCTGACTGTTTTGCAGAATATACTTCCCATTCCAAGCTTGTACTTCTCCCTCTAGTTAGCGGGGTTGGGACGCATCAATAGTTAGCTTGCTGGTCTTGGGTCACCGAGTCTTTTTTCGTTCACAGATTAAGTGAACTCGTGATAGCTTCAAACTTAGCATGTAAATCATGGTTCGAATTCCTTAAATAAGTTTATAACGTTCATTTGGTCCTACTTAATAGTTGGATCTTCTCAAGGTCAGTTTAGCGTCATTCAAATGTCGTCCATAAATTATAGTCTCATTCCGAATTTAATAAAAACACCCATTGCAAATAAAATAGGAAGCTTTGGATAACTGTTTTGTCTAGTTATATCAAGCTTCTTATTCATGTGATCCAAAGTCTTGTAGCTAGTTAACAAGTGTGAATCACAAAATAAACATTCAACTTCAGTTTGTTTGAATCAAAGTAAAATAATTTAACAAAGAAACGATTGTTTTCCTTAGTCATTAACAGTATATTCATTATTATTAATGGCTTTATTCAATATTATATTTTGGTACAACATAGAAACTCTCAGCACGGGGTATTTCAACAAGTTACTTACACAAGAGAAACCAGAAACAAAGGGAATAAAAGGTTTAAAAACAATCTGAAAAACTGTACTTTTCAAGTTAGAAACATGTTTCAGAACGCAGATTATTGACTAGGTTGACTTTAACAACCTGTTCGTCACAGAATATATTTGCTAGGTAAGGTATTATAGAACGTTTACACTTTTGCTTGCGTGCATGGATTTTAATGTAATTACGTCTCGTTCTACCAGAAGATACACAAGGAGAAAGATAAGAGTGAAGGGGATGGTCAGTATATGATGACTTTAGATTTCTATCCACAACCATAATAATTATGACCTCGAAAGATTCACCACACACCTTGTTAATTGCCTCCAACACTCTCCACAATACAGCAACGTCTTTTGTCAAAAGCCCGGGAAAGGATAATAGAGAACAGTAAAGAATAATAGGTAATATGCAAGAATTGACAAATTGTAAGAGTAAATGTCAATTACTCCCAAGAGCATGCAATCTCTTTATGTAGTAAGTCAGATGGAAAACCTTCTTCAATAACAATAAAACGTGGGTAGACCAAGAGAGATCAGAGGAAAAGGTAACACCAAGATAACTGACCTTCGACACTGTGTTTGTCAAACAGCCTCCAATGGCACAAGTATTATGGGATCTGAAAATGATGTTTAAGTGCCGTTTATGCATCATGCTAAAGTTAACAGCTTGACATTTAGACGGATTAAATATAAGACCTTTACTAACAATCAATACGAGACAAAAACTCATTCATTTCTATGGCATGTAAGGAGGAAGAGATAGGCATACATACAGTGAGGTCATCCGCATATTTCACAAAAGTGTTTTCTGTGGAAGATGGTAGATCATGCACAAAAAAAGAGAAGAGAAGAGGTGAAAGGACAGCTCCTTGAGGTACACCTTCATGAGACAGTAGTGACTCTGAACACTTACCTCCAAATACAGTGTACTGTTCCCTTCCAGAGAGGTAGGAACATAGCCAGTTGGTTATCCAGCTGTCAGTGTTGACGCTGATTAACTTGTTAAGTAAACGTTGTCTTGGTATAGAATCAAAAGCTGAAGTATAGTCCAGAAAAGCACATTGAACATACTTCTTACCCTTTTCTAAGTTGAACACCATATTATGATAAATCGATGAATAGAAAAAGACTAGATCATAGTGATCCGAAATTTCAAATCTAAAATGAACGTTGTATAATAATTAGTAGATTACAGAAGGATAGGAGGATAAGAATAACTCACATGTCTGAAATATCAAAGATAATTGCATACCTAACATATATAAAGAAGTAATAAAAACTGAATAATAATCATTTAAAAAAGATTGTTAGATTAAGGTTTTAAAG